TATTAAGCATTATGAAGACATTTGGATCCTGAATTAAACTGTAAGTTAGATAACAGTTCCCCTCCCCCAGATAGTCTCCTTAACTTTTGGAAGTTACTGAGGGTTTTTCTGTGTTTTATGCATTTGGTCATATGTGTACACAAAACCACAAAATTAGATAAAGCAGTGAAAAAATGGTGTATGAGTGTGAATTTAATAGGCAAAGTGCAAGACACGAAAAGTTCAGCTGGAAAAATCTTCAAAAATGTCATTTATCTTACTTGAATACAAACCTAGATTGTCTTTCAGCCTCTCATTACTCTGAATGGTGGAAATAATATCCTGTAGTTATTGTATTGTTTGAGAAAGAAAGGGGTAGATATTTGGATAATCTAGTGTATGCCATCATGAGAGACAGGACTTCAGCACGCAGAGGTAACCTGTGGAAGTTGTTTATTAAATCTTGATGTGAAGGTTGTGAGACTGAGTAGGATTTTTCTTTCTTATCTTTAATTTTCTGTATATGTTATCATTATGAAAGTTTTATTATCACTAATTCCCATCATCTGGGAGGACTGTTTGTCACCATTAGGCTAAATTCTTCACTGGCATCAACCCAGTAGAAAGCAGTAGGGGTTCTATCAGCAGACGCTTAGCTCCGTATTGCTTCTCTGATCATTTCATCCCAGCAAGAAGACATATTGCTTTTTCCTATGTTAGCATTATGTTATTTTGCAGAAATACCGGATCACTACTTAGAAGCTGTGGGAGAACTTTATCTCTCCTAACATTATTTATATTCTAAGTTTGACATGAGATCTATAGTATACACTAATCACAGACTCCCTGTGTTCTTAGCAGAGAGGAATGGCCGCTCCATAGGGTAATTCATTCCACAGTATGAGATTCCCACATCTATTTTAGTCACTCACCTATGAAGTGCCTTCCTATCTCTGCTGATTATAATAAATTAGCTGAGTCATTTGAACTTGATTCAAACATTTGACTAGATTTGCCATGTTCCATATGACAAAATTCACGTGGATTTTCTTTAAAATTTTCAAGTTCTAGGAGAGCAAATACATTGACTAAATGTATGCCATGTTTAGCCTCTGCCTAAAAGTGTGTAATGATTCTCTAGTTTAGACAGAAGTAACTTGGATTCAATATCAATTTAACATTCAGTTGTAAATTTATCCATTTCTTACCATGTTCTTTTGGAATTTTTGTTTTCTAAAGGAAAAAAACGTACATTTTGTCATTTGCCTGTTAAATACTTCGGGTGGGAAAACAACAGTTTCCTACCATCTGCCGTTTACTGGTGCAGGTCACTCTTCATGTTCAAAGTCCAACACGAAACAACAGTCATTACCATTTTTTACCCTCTCTAAAAATATCCCACGTAATTGTAGTTACATTTAAGCAAAATAATCAGAGTACCTGATTTTTTCTTACATGATTGCTGATTGCTCAGTGATCATATGTTTACTGAGTTTCCTGTCTGTAAGCTGGCCTTAGAAGAGAAGCATAGATCATCAACAGTTACTGAAACATATCTACATCTCTAGCCGTATCTGTAGCTGCCATATTGTTGTCAGTCCTGACTTCTCCTAGAAATCTAATGTCGGTGAATGCAAAAATTAGCATATGCACCTGAAATTGTTTTTCAAGCAATGCCTTAGGGTACTATAATCCTACCTCCACTTTTCAGTGTAAAGCTGTGTAAAGCAGAGGTGTTATTGTTCCTTTTTCTTCAAGGGAAATAGTTTTATGTTGGAAATTGTGTTAACTCATAGGAGCTATCCTTTGCCATAGAAAATTATTTTCCACATGTCACTTGGTGATTCTGTTCATCAGAAATTGAGATTACGTTTATCTTGATCTTCATGTATAAGATGCATATAATATCTGTGAGATCTGTAGGCTTATTAGACATTTTGGTGAACCTGGGGGCTACTTAGGCATGATGCAAATTAAAAAAAGGGAGATTCATCTCCTGTATATTTAAGTCTTAAGTGAAAACCTGAGCTTGAAGAAGTTTTCCTTCTCTTGTCCCCTGTCTATTTAGGCACACACACACAAAAGACAATAGCATTCATATCTAGATGAAAATCCCATGGAAATAAATATTTCTAATTGTATTATGGTTCTTTACAGGAGGCTTAGATTCATGACATTTACTTGTTCCTTTGTGATCTACTTCTAATTAAAATATACATTCCTTTTGTTAACATTCTGCATTGAAATTAGTCTAAGATGCGTGGTACTGTTTCTTCAGAAAATACTGTAGTTCATCTTTTAAACATGAATTCTGATGTAATCATTAGAAGCTAATGTTTGCTTAAAAAATGAAATTACTTCTGGGAACTTTATATTTTCCTGTGTTTTTTGCTGTAAAGCATGAGCACTGTCAAGAATATCCCATACAAGTGAACAAGTGAGTATTACAGACAGAGGTTCTTCAGTAGGTTTGCAAACACGGGCTCCAGCAGAAGGACATTGCAATTGTCTTGAGTAGGTGATTTGATGACTAGGAGGTGAGAAATGTAAAATTTGGTGTCTGTTTTCGTGCAAAACTCATCTATCCCATCTTGAGTTTAGGGATATGCAAATAATTTAATAATTAACAGGCATCTAAAATCATGAAATTGTTGTAAATCTGCTTACTTCATATTTGCTCTGGGTTGAAAAAGAGAAATAAAGGCGCTAGAGTTTGTTAGAAAAAAGAATTGTGATCAGACTGCTGTTTTTGATTGCAGGAGTTTCCCTTGACTGTAGCTGTTTCTAAGCTGACAGATGCTATTAATGAATGCTGACACCTTGAATGAAAATAATTGCAGTAATTCAAAATATAAATGCTTCTTCAACAAATACCTTTTTAACAGGTTCCAAAAGGTGCACTCTGTTGAAACTGGAATGTTTCTTTTTCACTTTGTGTTAGTTCATGTGCTGAAGTATAGTTCCTGTAAAAAAAACATTCTGGAAAAGCCAGCAGTTAATTTGAATATTACATGTTATTTGAAAAAAAAAAACCCAACCTGCATTTAAAATCAAGACTGAATGTAGAATGCTTTTATTTTTAATACACGGTATTCTTAACAATTGTTTGTGCTTTGAATGCACTTAATATTGGACAAAGAAATCTTGAGATCTTTTCTCAGATTTTATCTTTTCAGTGTAAAATAAAGGTTACATTGATGTCAGCAGAATCTTTGACAATTTTGCCTACCTTGTACTTTCTCTTCAACATTTTCATATTGTTACTTGCTAATTGCTCTTTGTTTTCGCACAGTATTCATCATGACAGTCTAAGGTTATGTTTCTGAGAATTTAAGATTTCTGGTTATATTGGAAAAATGTGAAAACTTGTACATTTAACTGGAGTAGTGAGTCAGAGAGTTCTTTCTATTGCTTTGTTCCCACACGGTCTTCAGCTTCTTGTCTTTCCACAGGCTCTGGGGCTAGAGTATAGGTTTTGCCCTGATCATAATACAGCAATCTAATGACACATTTAGATTTCCTTTCTAGAGAGGAAATGAACTGTAGCACTCAGAGTATAACTTAGTACACCAAATTATATTCTGATTAATTTATTGAGTATTTTACCTAATAATTCAGGATGTGAAATTTGAATTGTCTGCTTTCTATACTGAATTCCAGAGCTTCTAGACTCTGTTGCATTGCTTGCAATTGTGCGATATTAGTGAAGGGAGAAATCCCATTTTAGAGATGTACCCCCTAAAGTTATTCTTGGAATGATGCTGTTTACAGGGTGCTCCTTCCTTAAGCTATTGAATAGTGTGACCTTTGGTTCGCTGTGTCTAGCTGGCACAAGGTACAATAATAGTATAATCATAGAATCATAGAATAGTTAGGGTTGGAAAGGACCTTAAGATCATCCAGTTTAAGCCCCTCTGCCATGGGCAGGGACACCTCACACTAAACCATGTCACCCAAGGCTCTGTCCAGCCTGGCCAAAGTTTACATTATAGCTTTGCCCTTAAATAAAAATAAATAAATAAAGCTTGAATATCGTGAATTGTCATTTCAAAAGGTCACAAGTCCTCTGTGAAAGGCTATGAAGAGTAATTTGGTGTAATTATTAGTCAAGATCAGATCTCAAATGCACAAATATCTTTAAAAACAATAATTATTTGAACAGGCTGGAAATGTTAAACACTTTGTGTAATTCAGAGTAGAAGATTCTGTGTATCTTCAGTTTGATAATTATACACTAGGAAAAACTGAACAAGACAGGGAGGGACTTAAGGATATTTGTAGATATAACTTAAATATTAAGTACTGTTCTTAACATTAGCAAAAAGTAATTATAATCATAATTATAGGCTCTATTGCATGCCAGTGTGAATGTGCATCTGTGTGTATATGCTCTCTTAGATATAATTATTAAATCTTTGTGAAAAATTATAGTAAGGAGTTGAACTGAGGCACGTTCTAGTGAGGCTGTAAAAGTGTAGCCTGAAAGAATATTTGTTACTTTGACCTTGAAGTGATTTGCTTTGGAACAGTTTGTTTTATTATGTATCAGATTTATCTGGGATTATTTTTAAATTAACATCTGCATTACTTTTAATATTATGCAATTAAGCTCTTTAAAATGCATTACTTTTAAGCACAAGATAATTTCTGTCATTTCTAAAACCTTGTCTTGGTGTTTTTATTAAAATGTAAAATTGTGATAGTTAAACCAGCTAACTAGAAAGAAAACAATTTATAGCAGCATGGTTTCTTAATATTTTACATGCTGTTTTCATTGTTCATATCAAGCAAGTTTTAGTGAATATTTCTCCTAACTTCAATAGACAGGCTGTCTTCCTTTGTATTTTGACACAGACAAAGACATGGGGGTTAGTTGCTCACCTCACTTTCTGGGAAATATAGGTGTGTTCACACTAGATTGAAATTGCACTTGAAACTAATCATCCGTGAGCCAAAAAAGCCCTAACCTAAAGAGCTGTTGACTCTGGAAATGTAGTAATTTACTTCTGTTTTGTTTGCAGATTGCCTTCTCACAGCACAATACCATCATGGATCTGGTGCAGTTTTTTGTCACCTTCTTCAGGTAAATTGCGTTTTCTGTCTTCTGACTGAAATAATGATGATTTTTTTCTATCAATCTAATACCTTAACCAGCTTCTTAATCTTGAGAAATGCCTGCCATGAAGCCTTTAAACTGTGTTCTCTAATTTGGGCCGGTGGAGAATCCAGGCTGTTGCCCTGTAACTAAAGGCAGCTGCTGACATCTTTTATATGTTTCATATATTTCATATTTAGTGATACAGTCTTCATACTTACTTCATAAATATGAGCTAGGTATTTACTATATATTACAGTGATTAAGAGAAGACAGCTATATGGATTTAAATTAGGAATTTGTGTGTGATTTTTTTTTTGGTAAACTCTTTGAAAGAATTATTAAAAATGATGGCTCTGTTCAGTAGCTTTGTATTTTTAATAAAGCCAAATCACTACTGATGCTTTCCTGTGTTAGAGGTTAATTGTGGAACACGGTAGGTGTTGCATGAGATTTGGTTGTGGCAGCAGTTCAGGACTTGGCTTCAACTGCAAAGGGACAAGTATTCTAGGACTGAACAAAACTCCACTGAAAGTCTTCTTAAAGGTTCAGCTATCTTGCAAAATGTCACAATCATAAACTTACACAGACTAGTTATGGTGCTTTGAAGTCTCCCTGTGAAGATATTCCCCAATAGCCATGAAGTGTATGTGTTTAATTGTTGGGGGTTTTGCCGTTGTTTGGTTGATTGGTGGGTTTTTGTGTTGTGTTGTTTTTTGTTGTTTTGTTGATGACAAACTCCATAGAAGAAAGCAAAGTCTGTCCAAGTACAGTAGAAGAGAGGCACCGTGGGGAAAATAGCAGACGTAGACTAAAAGCAGTTTGTTTCTGCTCTGTGCCTTAAGGCAGGCTTAGAAAAGCTGTACTATAAGCTCTTTGATGGTGAAGCCATCTCTATAGATATATTGCACCTTTCGGTTTATCTAGTATGGTTTATTCTGGTAAATGCAAACTCACCGTGATCCTGATGAAAGAAGAGATCTCTCTGCCAGAACAGTAAGCTGGTTGGAAGCAAAGGCCAATGTAAACTTTTACAGAGAGAGAGGTTGTAGGAAACCTGGTATCTATCCTATCACTGCCTTTAACTCACCCCAGTCTAATTGTATAACCAAGGCTTTCAGCTGGCACTTAGCTCAGTTGGGCTTGCAGCATAATGTTAATCAACCTCAGGAACCTAGTTGCAGGACTATGTGAAAGAATCATGAAATGCTGTGAGTAAAATGAATGCTATTGCAGCAGTCCAAGCAAGTTATTGACATTCTCCAAAGGCACACACAGATCAGGCTAAGGTTTGATGGTTATGATGAAAAATAGAGGGGTTATCAAATATGTTTTAAAATCGTGATCTAAGGTTGTATACTGCTCTTCTACAATTGAGTTGGTCCTAAGGTGTCTGTAGATATAGGTAGGCTGTTTAGGAGCTGAAGTTCTTGTATTTCTAAGAAAACAATAGAAATAGAAAGTAGAGCATACAGTAGATTCACAGTTTGCAAAGCAGAACCTGAGAAGAGGGGAGAGGAGAATTTTGAGTTAGTTCTTAATGAAAGAAATTAATGAAAAAACATATTTAATACCACTGTGTTTACTGTGTTAACTCTTCTAGGAAGATTAGCTCAGGCTTATTGCTTTGCTAAAGTGGCTCTTTCCAAGACATGAGCTGGTGCTTTCTGTGTGTTTTTTTCAGTGTTATGCCCAGAGGCATGGGGTTTTCATCACTGTTAAAAATCCATTTATTTTCTTATCACAGTTGTGCATAATGTCACAGAGACACTTCTGGCTCCTAACTGCTGTGAGCAAAGCATCCTCACTGACACCAAAGCTAGCAAATGGTCAGTCTGTGTAAATGATCCAAGAAACTGTCAGGTTGTTTGTCACTGGGCAGTAGTTGGGAGTGTCTTGTAAATAAATGTAGGAAAAATACTTAGTGTGTCCTTTACAGAAAACCAGATCAAGAAGTTGGGAGTGAAAAGTTTCCAATGTAGCACCATTAAAACTTTCAGTAGATATTAAGTGGGATGTTGTTGCTACAGGCTCAGCAGTCTAAACAACCTATAGAATATTACTGCTGGGAAAATGTAACAATAACTGTTTTCTTTTTCACATTCATGGACAGATTTAGTCATCCTGATGGTTGATAGTAATCCAGACTTTATCTGAAAATTTGGTTTCAATAGTCTGTAGCCTAAGAAAAGTATTTTAATAGTGGTTGGTTTGTTTGTTTCTTGGTTTGTTTGGTTTGGGTTTGTTTGTTTATTTTACTGGATGGAACTGTGGTGTATTAAACAGCAGCAAATTATGTTGATAACGCGAATAACCCAGGTCATATTTGCTGGGATTGTTGACAGAGAAAATAATTGTGTTTAAAGACAATTTGAATGTGCTTGATAAGAAAACATCTTTCAACCTTAGATAAACACGCATTTGCATTTCTCCCATCTAGGATTATATTTTTCATATTCTGAGCACGTGGCATAACCCTGTTCTCCCTGGCTGCCTAGACAAACCAGCAAGTAGTCTCGTTTGACAATAACAGGTTTTTAACAAGCATTCAAAAGTCTAGTTTGAAGCTCTTCTGTTATAGGGTGTGTGTTTCTGAGTGGAAGATGAGATGCACGTTTTACTGCCTGAATCAAAAACCTCAAAAAACAAGCAGGTTTAGAACTTTCATGATTTTTCAAATATTGTTCTGTAAGGAATTTATTGTAAGCTATACATAAGAAAATTGAAAAGCTGTGATTGGATCTGCAATTAATGCTTCCTATACCAACATATTGCTATTGTATGTCCTAGAACAGTAAACTAGTACAAAAAAAAGGGGGGTTTGAAAAAAACAACTAGTTTCATTCTTTTTTATACTGGAAGGTTTAATTGTATCTGCTGGGTCAGTGACTTTTTTTTTAAGTAGAAGTGAATCAGTCAGATATGTAAGAGTGATAACCAGTTCCTGCAGTTACAGAAACTGTAGCATCTGTGTTGCTTTAGTCAATGCCTTGAAGACTTTTAGCTGCCACACAAATTGTGGAGTTTGTGCCTTTTTTCTTTTCCACCTGCTTTGGAGCAGTACAGATCTCATTAGAAAATGTCACAGACAGCAAATTAATAATGATCTGTCATCTTATACTGAAGAAATGCAGTCCCCATAGTTACAGGAAGTGTATTTCTGTGTTACCTACACTAAAGCCTAACTGTTGTGCTGTTATTTTTCTTGAACTATAAATTATAAAGAAGTTTTTAGGGTTTACAAGTCTGACACAAATATATTGTTTTAGCTAAGTAAGTGGACAGGGCATGTTAGGGATTTTATAATAATATATGTATTATCTTTAGTTTCTAACAACATTATTTACTTTAGATCATACTCTGTAATGCAAAAAATCTGTCAGTGTTCAATATTTGTTACTTTTTATTATATATGATTTGAGTAAATCCAGAATTGAGAGCCAGGAAACTCTTTGTATCTAACCTTGCTTTTAAATAAAATTATAGTTAAGAATTGCTATCAGTAGTCACGTATTTCTCGGAAAATTATTTGTATTGAGGATCTGCAGCAGGAGTTCTGGTAAGAAATGTGGTTTTGTCTCATCATCACAAAACAGGCAAACATGAAGTCGATTCTGGTGACAAAGGTTAGCTATTAGGATTTTTGTGATAGGTAACGATATGAAAGTGCTATTGTCATGACTGTTTTTAAAGTCTGTTTCAAATGCATAGGACAAACCACTAACTAATTAGGCATTTTCTCTGAGCGTACATCTTTATGTTCTCAGAACGGTTCCTTCTGTTGTCTTTGGCTCTTGGGCAGAGCTGCCAGTGGTGGATTTCACTTCTGCTGGAGCGGTTCACTTTAGTCAGTTTTATAACATGTTTTCTTACTATTAGGATTTACAGAATTTCTGATTTCTAGTAGGCAGAGCAATATTCATTAATAGGGAGACTTTGAAAGTTTCAAAATCTTGCTTTTGTGTACCCTTTAAGAAATTCTATGGAAAATTACAGTCATTTAGGATCGCAGCTCCTGAGACCTTCAATACCTGAATCTGCCATTCTGGGTGCGAATTTGCCATGAGGGAATTCCATCTCTTTACTGGCATCCTTTAGTGCGTTTGCCTGGCTTCCTGTTTTGTTTTTCTTAAAATAAAGGATGATAAATTAATGCTAGTTTTTTGCATGCTTGTCTTTATGAGGTCAAATATTGATCTGTGTAAGAAAGGCAAAACACTGTGTCAGGAACAGATCATGTCCACTATGGCTGTGTTCTCAGAAAACGCAGAAGTTGTATAAATCTAAATTAGCATATTTTCTGGTAACATGACAATCAAGTTATCTCAGCAGAATGGATTTTACCTTTGGGGCTGGAATAAAATTGATTTTTACTTAGTGGTGCATTAAACAGTTTTCACCTCACTTAGAAACAAATAGTTGTTTGACTTCCGCTGGCACAAGCATGTCTATACTGCAGTGGGCAAACTGAGTTGGTTTTGGTTTTTTTTTCTAAGAGTTTGTTTTGAATTGTGTCTTCCACTCTCTGAACCACCCGGGAACTTTGTCATCACTGTAGAGTGATTTGATGTATTCATATTTCCTGAGAAGACAGCCACTTGTTATTGGCCTGCAGGCAAAGGAGATTCCTCAGTACCGTTGGATCGGTTACTCTTCAAAACAAGGGATGAGTCACTTAATCCCATGGTGAACAGAACTGTTTTCCATTATTTTGTTCTTGGTTTTCTTCTTTCCGTTTGTCTTTTGAGTCATTTGGAAGTGCATGTGAGTGTACTAGTACTTGCCGTTCGATTTCAACGTACATTGTTCTTCAAAGTACATAGTTGCTCACCTTGATACCTGAAGATGGCCTATGGACCTGTTTGATATACAGCAGATAATTGGCTTTTCCTTTCTTCAGTAAGTGCATTTAAAATGTTGAACTTCTCCCTTCCTATATGCATTAAATACAGTGAGAGCTGTTCGTTGTGCCTGCTGAAGTGTTTAAT